TGGGGGGGGGGGGGTTCGCATTTACGATCAAACGGTCGCAATTGCGGAAGTCCAAGTTCGTATTTACGAACAAAACCATCGCATTTGAGATGGCAGCGGAGATGGGGGACTTTCGCATTTGCGAAAGATTTCTCGCATTTGCGGGGTTCGTAATTGCGACATCTGCGCTTGGACAAAAGAAGGAGAAAACGGGAAATAGCTTATTTCTTTCAAATTCTCAACCCTAAACACCTTTGAGGCGATTTTTCCAAGTAGCTTTTCTTCCTAAATTCATTGGTAAGTGACTCTAATATACTTTCTTTCAATTACCCATTATATTTCATAAGATTTTAACAACAAATATAGGATTTCCATGATAGAAATTAGGGATTTGGGTAGAATTAGGAATTTTTGTAAAATTGGGATTTAGACCTCGAATTGAGGTCGGATTTCGAATTGAATTGCATTATCGGTCTCACGGGTGAATGAGTGATCGGGTTTTGGTCCAAACCTCGGGTTTTGATCAAGCGTACCTAGGGTTGACTTTTTCAATAATGATCTAAACTGAACCTCTTTCATTTGTGGGTAGTTTCTAAGGCTTATTTTGAATCGTTTGGTTAATAATTTGCTAGATTTGGTTGGTTTGGAGGCTTGTTCGAAAGGCAAGGCCATGGTTGAATCTTGAGTTGATTGCGGAGTGAGGTAAGTCTTGGGTCGAACCTTGATTTGAGGGAATATGAACCATTGAGCTATGTACTATGTGAATTTTCATGAGTAACAGCGTATATGCGAGGTGACGAGTATCTATACACCGTCAATTACTTGTTTTCATATCTACCCATATTTCATTAATTATAGCATTCCATGTCTTGATTGTTACATGCCTTAATTGCTTCCTATGCTTTAACTTGCTACTTGTAATTTATTATTCTCGCAATTATAGATGTTAATTTCTTCCATGCTCACATGCTTAACTGATACATGCCTTAATTGTCTTACTTCTATCCTTTAACTATCATATATTTGACTTGTCTTATTGCTTCGTATTAGTTGTAGTCTTTCATGATTTGGTACGAGATTCCTTCTTGATTTGTAGCTTTCATATTCGTTAATCGTAAAGATTCTTTTGTTTCGAGTTGTTAAATTGATTGCACTTATTTATTTATAGATCGGGTTGCATGCCGCAACAGGTGGCATAAGGGAGGATTTATGTTGTATGGTGGGATCGGGTTGCGCGCCGCAACAGGTGAAGGATTGATATGGTGAAATAAGAGAGAATTATGGTATTGACTCTAATTATATGGTGGAATCAGGTTGCGCGCCGCAACATATATTTACTTATTATTATTGAAATTTACATGGTCGAATAAGGTAGGATTGTGTTGTACGGTGGGATTGGGTTACACGTTGCAACAATTTATGTGTTTTCTCCTCCCTGTTGTATTGTGTTGGCTTTTGTACTTTCGTACGAGACTCAAAGGATTGGTATTTCTTATATTTAGTGGTTTTCTTTTAGGATTGAGTTGTTTTCATGAGCTAACTGCCATATTTCGTTTCCGTATTTTCCTTTCCTATCATTATTAGTACTGCATACAGGTTATTGTAAGTGGCATGCCTTAGTCTCGTCACTACTTCGTTGAGGTTAGGCTCGGCACTTACATATTATATGGGGTTGGTTGTACTCATACTACAGTCTGCACTTCTTGTGTAGATTTTGGAGTCGGTCCCAGTGGTGGTCAGTAGATTGCTCGGGTTGACTATTAGTATGGAGACTTGAGGTACAACTGTTCGGCGTTCGCAGCCTTGAAGTCCCCTTCTACTTTATCTTAGTTGTGTATTTTATTTCAGACCGCTTTACTTTCGTTCAGACATTTATCTGTATTATTCTAGTAGCCCGTGCATTTGTGACACTAGATTCGGGATTGTATTTGGATATTTCAGTTGTTATGGCTTTTCACACTTTATTTTAGCTTTATCTCAGTTATTTCAGTAATTGTCATCAATTAAATTTGATTGGTTTAAAAATGGCTTAAAAATTTATCTAATGTTGGCTTGCCTAGCAAGTGAAAATGTTAGGCTCCATCACAGTCACGAGGGTGGGATTTTCGGGTCGTGACAAGTTGGTATCAGACCACTAGGTTGCCTTGGTCTTACGAGTCACGAGCAAGCTTAGTAGAGTCTAGATGATTGGTACAGAGACGTATGTACTTATTTCCCAGAGGCTATAGAGTTTAGGAAAAATGTCACCACTTTCTTTCTCTATCGTGCGAATTTATTCTATCATTGATGATTAATCCATTCTACTCTTGTTCCCTCGCAAATGGCGAGAACATGCACCGCATCTACAACCGGACAGGAGCCTGTGCCCCCTGTGGTAGCTATGACCAGAGGTAGAGGTCGAGGCTGAGGTCGCGCCAGAGGAAGAGGTAGAGCTCAGCCAAGAGCTCGAGCGGCAACACCCGTAGTGGAGCCTCAGGTAGATTTTAATGCGCAGGTTCCAGCTCAGACTGTACCTGTTGGACCAGCTCAGGTCTCGGAGGGGTTCATAGCCACTCCAATGCTTCAGGACGTTCTAGTCCGTTTGGTAGGCCTTATGGAGAGTGTGGCCCAGACCGGCACACTTCCGGTAGCACAAGCCGTCTCTCGGGCTCTAGTCCGTTTGGTAGGCTTTATGCATTGTGTTGTCATGAAAGAAGGAAAGTTGACGTCTATCAAAAACCATGATTGTCACATTTTCATGGAATCTTTGATGCCTAATACATTCAATGCTTTGCCTGCTAAAATATGGAAGCCCATCATAGAGATATGCTTATTTTTTAAGGAGTTGTGCTTTAGCACATTGAGGGAGGAGAACCTAGCTTACATAGACAGTAACATTCATCTTAACTTTAAACAAGTTGGCAAAAATATTTCTGCTTGGTTTTTTCGATGTCATGAAACATCTTCTAATTCACCTTGTATAAGAGGTACGCCTAGGAGGGCTAGTTCAATGTAGATGGATGTATCCCTTCGAGAGGTAATTATCTTTATTCAATTATCCTTACGTGTTTTAGTTAAACATTATTTCATCTTAAAACCATGCTATGATTTTAAGGGACCGTGAAAAATAGATCAAGGATTGAGAGATCGATATGTGAGGCATATCTAACTAGAGAAACTTCTTATTTTTGTTCTTATTATTTTGAACATGATGTAACATATTTAAGAAATAGACCTGATCGGCATGATGATGCAGGCAATACCGATCCATTAGCACATTCCCTATTCAATCAACCTAAAAAGGCGTTCCAAAACGTAGTCCAACACTATATTTGACTGAGATGGAGCTAAAGTCGGCTACAACACATGCTCTACTAAATTCTCCCGAGGTCCAACCTTATTATACGTAAGTGTACATTTATATTGCCGACTTACATTCAAGATCAATTATCAATCATTTTAACTAATGAAAGTTTCAATTTTGTCGGACAGTTGGTTTGTGGGTACATATGGGCATGAGCATGTTGTCCTAGGTTTGCAAAATGGTTTAAACACTTTGTATGTATTGGCGAAGTTTGTTTCAATGCAAATTATTATCATTTGTACATACCTTTTAAATTCTAACTGTTATTGGGTTCGCTCTAGGTTCATATTCCAGATAATAGCGTAAATGATTCATATTTGCATGATATTGCTTGGGGACCTAACCCTAAAGTCATAATTATGTCTAGGTACTCCATCAATGGGTATAAGTTTCATACAAAAGAATGGTCTAAGGGATAAAAACTCAATAATAGTAGTGTGTGTATGTGAAAGGTGATGTTGATTGTTATGATGTACTTCAAGAGATATTAGAACTCGGGTATAGTGTTGGTTGGCTGAAGAAAAAGTTGGTACTCTTTCACTATAATTGGTATGATCCAACACCTACTAGAGGTACAAAGGTGCATCCTCTATATAAAATAGTTGAAATAAAGCACAAGGGGAGGTATAGACTATATGACCCAATTATCAATGCAAAAAATATGAAATAGGTGTATTACGCACTTTATCCTTTATGCAAGAAGAAGGTTTCATAGCGGGTTGTGATAAAAATAAAACTCGTAAAGTTGAAGTCAAGGATGCATTAGATGTAGCGTACAATCAAGTGTTGAAGCAATGGTGAATGATGAACTAGAAGGTAATTGCATGATAATGAAGGTCTCTATGAAGAATTTGATCCTTCAGTCCTTAGATCAAATCAAAGTGAGTATGAGGAAGGAACATCCATGGCAAACGGGGACGGAGATTCAAGTGATGAATATAAAGTAAATGAGGATGAAGAATTATATGATGAAAATGAAAAAAAGCGATGATGAATATGATCAATAAGAAGAAAGTGATGAGGATTGAGTTGTTTGTGTGTTTTATGACTTGTTTGATTTCTTATGTTATTATTTTATTCTTATATCTTGTTAGACTTTTCATATGCTCTTTCTTTAATCATTTTAATATGTAAAAGAATTACTCCATATTATGATATGTTGATTTTTTATATTTATTTAACTTAAATTACACAGATGGCTTCTAAGGGTAAAGAACAAAAACAATTTAAGAAGAAAAAAAATACGTTGCCATCTACAAGTCACATTCCTTCACATATGCCTAGTATGAGTCCTCCTCCT